CCCCTATTTTCGGAAATCCCCATCTTGCGCATTTTTCGCAGCTTCCAGTTGAGCCGAGGCCTTCATGCTGTCCCCTGGGAAAGTGTGCGAGCCGCAGTTGATCCCTCTCTCCTCGAGAGCCAAGGCAGGGAGGGAGGAGGTGGTGAGTTTCGAGGTTTTCGAGGTTAGTTTCGGTGCGTAGTTTCGGGGTGGAGTTTCGGAAGGTCCGGGACAGTTTGGGATCAGGACATGGCGAGTTTCGGTCTCACGCCATGGGCAGTTTTAGGCCCAGGCCTTCAAGAATCGGACTGACTGCCTGTGCCCACCTCGCCCCCGGCCCGAATTTGATTTCCGCTGCGCCGAAGCTATCCTTGCGTGATCCGAAACCCTCGGCAGCCGATCCGAAACTAGAACCCCAAAACTATGGGCACGCCACGGAGGGAGCTCGAGCATGCGAAGCCAAAGCTCTGCGTTCTCAAGCTTCGAAGCATCGACCTTTGTGGGTGGGATAGCCGTGCTTTCTTGCATCCTGAATTCAGGCTTGGCTTCTGCGCCAGGGCAGCGCGAATGAGTGCTGGGTCGTTCAGCAGGCGGCATGGGAGAAAGTGCTTGTCACAGCATCGAAGGGCGACAGTATCTAGCTATCGTGCGAACCAGAGAGACTCCGAAGACATGGAACTGAAGACACCCTCGGAGGCGAGCCCACTCTTCGCAGAGCGTTGTGAGGAGTTCGTCCGGCTGCGCGGCCCTCGAGGGAGTGAGGGAACGAGCGAAATCTCAGAAAATAGGTGTAGTCGATGCAAGCTCAAAGGCTGACATGCTGAAGATGCATCTTTCAGTTCCGAACATGCTTGCAGCCCAGGTGTCCTTCTATCTTGGAAGATGCCCAGCTGGCCTTCCCACACTCTGCAATCCCATTGCAGGCGGGCCAGGAGAGGAGTACATCGGCACTTTACACCCATGAAGCAAGGAGTGTGGGTGTGGGCTAGGGATTTTCGTCGAGGGCCTAGCAGTGGCTTGAGAGTTGGCAAATGAGGCGAACCAGAAGCAGGTGGGGAGCCTGTCCCGCACCCAGATGTCGATTCTTGTTTAGGCTTCTGTGTATGGCTACTCCGGCTGGGCCCGCCCGCAGTTCCGAACTGCTGGCACAAGCCTCTTGACTCGAAATCAAGGCTAGTGGCGGAGTCTTCGTTCCGTACAACTCTGGAGCAGTGCGCTTGGGATAACGTCGGATCCAGTCTTGTGTTGCGCAGACTTCCGATCACCAGGTACGCTGCCACTTTGGATCAGACCACCAACGAGGATCAGGAGAGTCTCCGGAAGTCAAGACTTGGGTCTGCCTTTCCCAGAAGAAGGGTCACGTCTTAGCTGGTTTTAAGCACTGGAAGGCGAAGCTTGAAAAGGTTCTCAGCAAGGCGCAGAGACCCTGCAAAGAAGCTTTCCTCGAGTGTGCAGCTGCATGATGCCATGTTCTCCATGTGTATAGATCACTGACAGCAGCTCTGTTTAGCTGCAGGGATTGGGGGCTGACGTGAGAGGGATATACAGGGATCGTCAGTAACGTTGCGCTGATGGAAGCAGAACTGCATTCCGAGAAAGTCTGATCGATCAATGCAGCTTTTTGGCTGGAGACTTTCGATATCTTGCGGAGCTCGTTGGCGAAGGCGGCTAGGCTTGAAAGAACCATTGGATAGACTCTGCCACTGTTTTTTTCAGTTCATCACACACCAAGCGAGACTGGGGGAGAGACTAGTGTTCAGGGTGTTATGGGGGGTCAAACGGTTGCGAGACGGCCATCCTCATCCGGGGTCTTTTCACTCCAACAGACCTCGGAGACTAGGGCGCATGCGCGCGCGGGAGGGTTCTGCCCTCTTCGCGTGAGTGGAAGAAGATTGCCCTAGCCATCAAGCATCTCACAGCCACAAATCAATTTGATCAGTAGCGGTAGCCGTGTGCCTAAGCCGTACCTCGCTTCCAGGTGTAGCTCAGTCAGACGATGGCGCTCAAATTTGAGGCCTGGAACATGCGATTTCATGTGCTAGCCAGCCCGCCCGGATCGGAGGCGACCTTCATCAGCATGAAGACAACCGAGCCGGCGAAGAAGCGCTCCCAGAGTTTACCAGCGCCTCCAGGCCGTCGTTCCATCGGCGTTTCGTAGGCCAAAGTGTATGAGAGCTTGGTGCTGCTAGGACGTTCCGGAGCCTCTTCCACCACAGACAAGGAGACCTTCCGGAGATGTGCCCATCTTTTTGAGCTACCGTAACACCTCGACATTGTGGTTCTGAACTTGTTTTGTTGGCACATTCATGGCCTTCCCGACAGGACAGTGTGGGGCAGGTTCAGCGCTACCTGGACCAGTTGATGGACCGGGCGGAGAACCTGCGCCCTGAGGATCAAGATGGGCAGGATGAGGCAGGGCGCCGAGTGCTGTGACCGAACGCGTCTTTACGCCTCTATGCTCTTGTATGCAATGGATCGAAGGGCTGCACCTGTTGACAGCAGTTCACTACGAACATGATCGACATCGTGCGCGAGTGCAGGTATTCTAGACGGACGTTTAGTTGGCTTAGAGCCATTTATCTGCGGGCAGCCTCCGCCGTGAACTGTCCAACCCCCCAGCCCGATTGCCCGACACAAACAAAAACAGCTTTGCGTGCCGAAGGAGCAATTGGCTCCCGAGCGCAATGCGGAAGAGGCGCGGGATCAATATGAGGGATGTGTATCAGAAGGAAGAAAGGGAACGAAGAAAGGAGGGAAGGCAAGGAAGACGGGATGGGAGAGCGAGGCAGAAACAGAGAACTGATGCCGCTGCTACTGCTGCTGCTACAACAAC